TCAGTGATGGTGAACAGATAGAAGCAGTAAGAAGGGTTCTCGGTGGTGTTATACTACGGCGGATATGTAATGGAGTACGTACGAAGTTATATATTTTTTACCAATGTTTATTCTATTGGAGTTTCACCCGTGATATGGAAAACGCATTTCACAAACCACTACACATCGTGGAAATCGCGTTTTTTCACCCAGTTTTACGCCACTTCACGGAAAACGGGTGAAACTCTATTATTTGATTCTTATATGATATTGTATAATCGTTATAGTTGTTATATTGTGATGAATTATCTCATTTTGATTGATGGAGTTTCATCCGTTTTACGTGAAGTGGCGTAAAACTGGGTGGAAAACGCGATATTTGCGGTGATATGCAGTAGCAGGGACCTATTCAGCTCTGAGAAATAGCGTTCCTCATGGTTTGATAGCAATGGGAAAAATGTTCCTAATGTGATGAGATTCACGTGGGAAAAATTTGAGCGCCATGTGGAGAGCTCAAAATTTAAGTTCCTCTCGGGAGAATTATAGATTTGTGGATGATTCTCTGCGCGGTAGTCGTAAAATATGTTTTTCAGTAGGGTTTCTCATAACAGGGGTGAAATTATTATTATTTTTATTTATTTTATTTTTTTTTGGTGTTAGACTTCGGAAGATGCCTTTGAGGCTGCGTTTCGTTTTGAAGATATGACTGATGACGATTACCATGGTGTGAGGATGATGATAACTAGGCTGCTGGATGGCAAGGAGTATGATGTTGGCAGTTTGGCTCAATGCATTGTTGGTGAGTCACGCGCCATGAAATTATTTTGCTTGGAAACAGTGGAGTTTTACCCGTTTTACGTGAAGTGTGGTAAATCTCGGTGAAAAAGGCGATATTCGCGCTATGCCGTGGTCGTGAAATATGTTTTTTTCACTAGTGTTTTTCATATCGCGGGTGAAACTTCAATGTTGGAAAATATGATTATTTTCTTCAGCTGAGGTCAGACATTCGCTCGATACAGTTTGAAATTATATACGAATAACAACAAGAATTTCCGTAGATTTTTCTTAGAATTTTCATATTGTCACCAACACACGTAAGTTTCAGCTCGAAACTCTCATTCGTTGACGCAAATTTTTTGAATTTGCCTGAGGAAAAATACGCCCCTTAGTTGACCATGTGCATATTTTCCCACACCGCTTGCAAATTTGTGAGGATATGTTATACCAGGCCAACTAAACACAACTCTAAGTCCGAAGTGATATAGCAACTAATAATTGTAATCGATGAAATACCGTGATCGAATCTTATGAAACGGTTTGGGCGAGCGAAATTTAGACCGTGTTACACAATTGTCCCCCGGCTCAGTGTGAGGGATCACAGGGTAGTTTGAGGACACTTGTGGGAATTGCGGGGCGAGCGGAACATATACTCTATCAAATGTTATTTAGCGTTGTGCGTGCGTGCATTTTGCAATACCTACGGTGATTTGGTAGTCTAGGAATAGATTCAGATGAATTAGATCAAGATATGCAGAAAAATACGATGGTTTTCGGGAAGATGGAATTCTGAGGAATATTGGCGCGCGAGTTCTCAGCGATGGGCTAGCGATCGCCGTCACTTCGCCACGAATTCCTAGTACGAGGAATTCAAAGTGAAGGCGTAGGGGTTTTCCGAATGTTCGGGGAAAAACTGTCATGGATTTCAGATCAACAAAACATTGGTACGATTATCAAGTCGGGTGATGAGAATAAAGCAAAAGATGGCGATAACGATGATGCCTTCTGTGCGGTGGCGACTATCCTGAACCCGGTAAGGGGGATGATGTTGTTCGCTGTTGTATAAAGAAGGTATTTATTTTTTGGGTAAAATCGAAAATTCAGTATTTCACGGAGTAGTAGGTCTGTTCACTAGACTTTTTCTGAGCTTTAGGACCACTCCCAGAAATTCTGAGCCAGAATTGGATTTCATTAATGTGAATTTCGAAATCGAGACGCAGGAGAAGTTTATTGGAGTTTCACCACCCTAGTGATATGAAAAACACTAGTGAAAGATATACTTCACGACTACTGCATATCACCGCGAATATCGCGTTTTTCACAGAGTATTACGCCACTTCACGTAAAACGGGTGAAACTCCCCGGAATACCCGGAGTGTCTCAGACGGACGTATTTTTGTAAAACTTCATTTTTTATGTTTTTTAGGCTAAGTAGTTTTGCAGGGCTTTTATATACTTGAGTGAAACGGTCATATTCTTACGCGTTAATCGTATATAACGGCGAGTGAGAAATTCACATCCCAGAATTTATTAGGAAACGGTAAAAATATTATGAATCTTCTCGAAAATTATGGAAAAAAATTACGCGTGTATCAGAGCACTCGTTCTCAGGCACAATACTCGAAGGAGATCAAGGGTATGCAACAACTAGTAGAGCATTTAAGGCAACAGGTCGATAAGCATGCGGATTCTGATGAAGTCAAGGAAGCCTTTGTAAGGATGGGCATTTCATGGTGCTCTATCGTGGAATTTGGGGATATTTCAGGGAAAGATGGTATCAGCTACTGGTGGAATTCGCTGTGGCATAATGATCAATGAGAGGTGGGTCTTGTAGGATGATAATGTTATAGTTAGATGGCTCTCATCAGAATGATCAACCTTCCCTCTGAGCTGGTCCCGGGTATTCACAGAGTCCTCAAAGATGACGTCGCGTGGAGCCTGTCGGAAGAGGCGCATTGCCCAGTTGAGGAGAAGAAGTATTATAAGTTTACTCATTTGTTGGTAATAGGGTGAACATGTGGAATTTGGATTCGTGTTATCGTCATTAAGTTGATGTTGGTCACAACTTGTGACAAATATCAACTTCCCGGAAAATCATGAGCTTTTTCCGGAAAAGTTTTTTTTCCGGGAAATCAAGAGCTTTTTCCGGAAAATCGTGAGCTTTTTCCGGGAAAGTATGTTTTTCAGTTCCTAACGTCATATTATGTGGATCCATCGGCGGCCCCTTCGAAGGTAATGCCGGGTGGTAAGAAAGTGAAGGCGGCTAAAAGGAAGAAGGCTCGATTAGAGATGGAAAAGAAGGAAAGAAGATATATATGTTTCGAGGATGAGGTATGCGTGTGTTGGTGACAAAATGGAAATTATTGGAAAATTTTGGAAACTTTAGGAAAATTTCGGATAATTTTTGTTGGTTTTGGCACCTTTCTACCCTGAGTCATGTGTAAACTGCGATAATAGGAAACCAGACATGTTCCAACACTGGCTTATTGGTTCATGGTAAGAATCTGGTCGATCTCTTCAGCTGCGTTGGGAAGTTTTCTTACTATTTGAAGCGTGGGAAAACCACCCAGAATTCTTCAGAATTTCCTGATTGTCATTAATACGTGTAGCTGACTAAGTGTATACTTCCCTTTATGCTGACTAGAATCGAGATGGTGTTGATTTTCAGGTGTTCGTAGACCATGCACAATGGCAAGTAACGTGGCCCTTCCCTCGAGGAGACGGTATTGACCCTGAGACTCGGAAGATGCTGGCGCGTAAGAGATTACTGTACTGCGTAAAGTACGACGATTGGAAGACTATGGTTGACCAACTGGCTTGATTACCTGTTGTTCACAATCACTTACCAACGTATCGGCTATGCTTCATTGTTGAGTTCAGAGTGAGGGTATGCGAGCTAACGTTTTTGGTCAATTTAAAGAATTTACAAGTGAACTGGTAGTAATATGGTAACAACGCGAATGGATCGATTTAAGACTTGAAAACGGTTGAGCACCGAGAAACTCAAGACTCGGATCTCACAAGGAGATTCTCACTAACTTGGGCTGTATACGGTGGGGAAGCGACGCACGCAAACGAGCTTCGTAGACTGAGGGGTGTGGACGCCGTGAAGTGCGAGACCGATGTCGGAGAGTACAATCTGCGAGGCCGCTCCAAAGTTGATGCCACATTGAAGGGAGAGGACTAATTAGAGAGATAGTGGAAAACGTCGTATTCCGGCACTTTTTCGCGGAGCTGTTACGATTCTGTGAAGTGCCTTGAATGACATTAACAGCGAAGAGTCAATTAGGTTTTGCCGATACCGTGCGCGATGAATAGAGGGTGCAATGAATGCAACTCTTACAGGTCTCGTGGCCTAATGGATAAGGCGTTGGTCTTCGGAACCAAAGATTGTGGGTTCGAGTCCCACCGAGATCGTTTTTCTTGACCGTGCAAGAATTCTCCTCGAAACATTCCAAATCAATCCCCGATAATACTCTCGTAGCGCCCAGCGTACCGTGTTCCTGTACTTGATCGGGGCATTGATTAGAGCGTTTTGCGACATCTCAAGTTGATGTTCTCAACCTAGCACGAGAAACCGACTTACGGAACTTGTCCCCAGTTGAACGTGACTCGTCCCCTCAACCTGGTTACAGGCTACAAGGAGTTGCTGGCACTGATCTCACTAGTTGGTGTGATATATTAGATAAAGTGTGTGTCGAAATTAATAATGCGCTTGTTAAGCGAGTTAAAGGTATATCTCCTACCGATGTGCTTATGTATTATCCTTGTACGAACCTCTTGACTGGAACTAATCGTCAACAGGATCCTGATAGGCATGTTGTTTTGTCTAACTATAGGGCGGATTCGCTAAAGACGAATGTCCAAAGAATTGCTGTGGCTCATAAACAGTTGAATATTGACCAACAAGTAATGATACAGGTTAGCCAACCTAATTCTAAGATGTCTCCACGTTGTAATCCAGCGGTGATAACTCGTATTTTGGGCCCTAATCGTGTGGAATTAGACAATGCTTCGGTCGTTCATTCTCGCGACTTGAAGATTCTACAATCATTAATTGTTGAGGAAGAAGAAGATGATGATGTTGGAGAAGAACGATGTCTTTGTAATTGGTTTTTCTTTAAGGGGAGGGAGATGTAATTGTGTTGGCACACAATTCGCTGTCTTCTTCCATAACAGCTAGGCTATGTGCAAAGTTCCACTATTGTTTGTATAAAACATGTATCTTTATTTACAGGTGTTGAGTTCCTGTAATAACAGGAGCCCCGTAATAATCACGGCGTGATTGACGAACACCACAACGGGGGTATACGCGTTATTGTAGAAAAAGCTTTGTGCATGAGCAGCTAGCAAACAAGAATTGATCGGCTATGTATTCTACATTTGCTCTCAAGAGCGTACTGACTCTTTTCGGCTCTGGGCACGGCTTCTTGCGCCTCGAACACTGCACCATGGCAGAAGAGTACCACAAAGACACGAAAAAACTCTTCCAAGAAGTGATCGACTACCACTCGGGAAGTGAGATTTAGCAGTAGGAGTGTTGCCTTACACAAGTGTCCAACCGGTTGTCAAATGATGAGATGAAATATTATAGTGGCAGAAGCCTTGAACAAGAACGGCATCTGTAGGACATAGGAGAGACTCCTTATGAAAAAAGGCCTTTGCCAGCTGGGTAAGGTCATCAAATCTATGAGGTTTGCCACGGTAAATCTTCCCGATAAAAAGAGCCAATGAGTTCGCAGCAAGAGCTGATTCGGCCGTCTTAGGTAAAGCACCTGTTAGGGCGGGATGCCAAACATAGTTGATCATCTCTGGGTGGAATTCTACGCTGTACATAGGCGCCCTCCCCGCCCTCGATTCCATACTGGCGGAAAAAATTTTGTGGTTGACCGGATCCTCGCTGGTGCTGGTCATCTTGAACTGTTCACGTAGTTGTTTGTAGGTCTTCCACATTTCCGGCGGGACTCCGTTAGAGTGAATATTTGCAGTCACGTTTTGAGTCTGCAATATCTCTCTTACATGACGAGGTAAGGACTTCAGCATGTCTCCTCCTTTTTTAACAAATTTGATAGGGAGGGCGACATTCCTCGTCGTGTATTGACTTTCTAAAATAACCTCGTGGGTTCCGGCGGCTAGAAGAGCGAGGAGCTGATGACCTTCACAAATACCAAAAATAGGGAACGGGTCGTTGTTAGCATACCTGTCGACAGCATAATCGTAGATCATCTTGGCCGCATCGACGTATGGGTGACCAAAGCGAAGGTCCGCATCGAGGCTGCCCCCCGTGAAGAGAACGCCACTTATCTTGGCCAGAAGGGACTTCAGATTAGGATCGTCATAGTGAAGAGGGACAGCTTGTATACCAACACTTTCGAGATACTTTACATTATATTCAAGAACGTATGGGTAAGGTATGTACTTTGTAGGAGGATGAGCAAGAATACCAACCACCGGGCTTCGAATAAAGTCCCCTTCTAAACCACGAAGTCCGCTAAACGCAGCTGCTAGGGTAACAATAACACAGAGCTGGGTTATTAGACGAGTTAGCATATGAAAGAAAAAATGACAGACTTGAAGTAAACTAACTCATGCTAGATGCCAAAAGTCATTCATCCTAGAGCATGCCAATTTATTGAGCTGTGGGCGTCCTTGTCAGCTTGTCCTTTATATGTATCCGAGTGAGCACAAACCTTTCAAGTGATAATCAACCATGAAGCCTATCGCCCGCGTGCAGACCAATTCGCACGCACACGCAAGCTTCTAATGCTTCGACAACGGAGTGACGGAAGAGTCTAAATTACCAAGGTTAAGAACAAAGATAGAGGCATACCACAGTGGGGATATCAATAGTTCGAACGTCGCTACTGCAACATCATATTCATGAGTTAAAGGAAGTGAATATCCACATAGCAATTTTCAAACCATCTTCGTGCCGATATGTCGATTGATACTGGGCCTGTTTCACAAGGATACTTAATTTAAGGCGCCTTAAATATAGGAGCAACTTAAGGAGTTACTTAAGGTATACTTAAGAAGTACTCAACTCATTTCACAACGTTTAGGAGCAACTTAAGGAGCTCCTTAACTTAAGGCGTACTTAAGTATCTACTTAACCATGGTTACAGGTATAGAATAGAATTACACGTTTACTTTCGTGGTGTAAATGCTACAGTGGTAAGGTTGTCTGTTTACCACTCGATCGGCGCAGTTCATATCTGAGGTATGCTGTTTCTATGGTCGTTTACTGTTTCGCAACTACTTTCCTCGATCATGGGTAAGGTATCAATGGTAAGTTACCATTGGTAACGATTTGCAAGGAGATTTCCCACGAATTACAATGTTAGCTAGAATAAGTCACTCAACGGTCCGCTAAGTAGAAAATATACTCATGTGAACTTAAGGTGACGCAAATCACTGAAATATCTCGAAGTCGCTGCAACTATCTGCGAACGTAGCTCTTGCGAAGAGCGTTCCCGACACCATCCACTGGAGCATCTGGGTCAATCAGAGTTATTCGAGATGACTGTGATTGACCCAGATCCTCATCTCCTGTTCACAAGCAGCAAACATTGCCTCCTCGACGTTTTGCAGTGGCTGATTCTTAAAGGTGACCATATTGTGAAGTTCGATTCGGCTTTTGCTGCGTGAAGGAAATGAACTCTTGGCTCGATTTCTTTGCCTCTCTGGACAAGTGGGAGAGCACCGTGCTGCCATTCGTAAGGTCTCCGGTTCGACCCCTGCGAGATGCAATATCAAAGCATCGTACTTCGAAGGGTCCCTGGTTCAACCCCTGTGGGCTGCAATATTCGAACACGGTACTTAAGTATCTATTTAGGTAGGGTCGGCTCTACCTTAATAAAATTTAAGGAATACTTAAGTTGCTCCTTGAGTACGCATGTTGTGAAATGCTTCTCGTGAATACTTAAGTATATGCACAGAAACTTAAGGCGCCTTAAGTATTCCTAAACTTAAGGCGCCTTAACGTGCTTACTTAAGTAGTGAAATAGGATGTAAATGACCACTATGACGCCAGCCACCCCGTGCAAAGGTAGATTCTGCTTCTTATGTGCATTTCAGCACAATAATAGGGGGGTCCCCATCACTAGACCATCGTTTCGTTCTAAGATCGAGACGGTACGGGGCGATGAGGCAACCGATATGCTAGCTCTGAAGAACGTTCCATGCCAGATATGCTCAGCATGTAATATTGCCCTCGGAACAGATCCCAAGAAGTATATACAGAAGTGGGCCTGAGAAGGTGTACAGACTCGCCAGTCTCGGGAACGCAAAGCAAAGCTGGGTATAAAGAATATCGCTCCACTGAATTGGCGTACCCTACCCTTCTGTGATGCTGCAAAAGGGACGGGCTGCTACTTTTGTGCTAAAAACTACAATGCCAACCGTCGCAAAGGATGGTATGGCAGACTCGAGAAAGACTCTGCCACTGTGACAGGCCTCGAATGTCAACCGAGTGGCAGTTCTTGTAGCAGTACTATGCCTGTCCTAATGCTTGTTGACAGAGGGGTTCTCGGTTTTTAAGGTCCCACTTCGACTGACTGAGTGCTAAGTTTCTCGCAGCTCTCGATGTCAGCCAAACATGCTCTTCTGGTCGACGCGTCTCAGAAGGAGAACCTGGCTAGCCAAGTAAGCAGTGGATTGCTTTAAGAGTTGTCTCAAGAAACACCGAGAAAGTCAGACTCGGATCTTACAGTGAGATTCCCACTAACTTGGGCTTTACACGGTGGGGAGGCGACGCACGCAAACGGGCTTCGTAGACTGAGGGGTGTGGACGCCCTGGAATGCGAGACACTTCTGATGTCTGAGAGCACAATCTGCGAAGCCGCTTTAAAGTTGATGCCACATTGAAGGGAGAGGACTAATTGAAGAGATAGTTTGAGTTTGATGAAAAACTGTGTACAAAATGACATCAACAGTGAAGAGTAAGTTGGGTTTTGCCGATACCTTGCGCGGTAGATAGAGGACTCACAGGTCTCGTGGCCTAATGGATAAGGCGTTGGTCTTCGGAACCAAAGATTGCGGGTTCGAGTCCCACCGAGATCGTTTTTCTTGACCGTGCAAGAATTCTCTTAAACACATTCCAAATCAACTCTCGACGCCGATAATACTCTGACGACGCCCAGCGTACCGTGTTCCTTTACTTCATCGGGGCATTCATTAGAGAAAAAGTTTTGCGACATCTCAAGCTGATGTTCTCAACCTAGCACGAGAAACCGACTTACGGAACTTGTCTCCAGTTGAACGTGACTCGTCCCCTCAACCTGGTCACAGAACTTGCGAAATTCAAACTTGAGTGGAATTGTAACTCTGCAGGTTCCTGTGGAATCGATCGATTCTCCTGTATACTTTGATCGCACTATGAATCCAACGCATGCACGTATGTGGGAAAGAAACTTGTGGATGCAAAAGCATGCGAACTATCGCTTTGATCAATGGCATGCATCGTGATCGGCTGTTGGCTTGCTCCCGCATAACGCCAGCGGATGTCATACCGCATGTTTCCAGCTATACCCAATGCTGGTGTGGGAAAATATGCACATGCTCGACTACATGTGTGGGTGACGTCTGCGGAAATTCCGACAAAAAAGATTGAGGAAAATCTCGGTGCACTTACCCCTGAGTTCATATACAAACTTTTATAATTAGTGAGGAGATTCCTGAGTTCAGCTGAGGATTTATTCCAGCACTGCCTAATGCCGTTCCGCAGTAAGACCTATGACTGTGCTCGATTCATCGCATCTATCATAGACCGCTCAGTTATCCCCATTCAAGGTTGCTGGAGAAAATGTTCTGCAACAAAAGCCGATTGACATTCTCTTAGATGAAGGTCTGTAGACATTCTGTTATCTGTAAGTTAGTGCACCCATGCGAACCTTGACTATACTACTACCATACAACCCGTCTCGCAAAATGACGTCCAATTCCATGCTATTCAATCGAGTGCACTTTCTAGAAAAAACAGCCGAGAGCCACTACTTGCTGACTCTAATTGGAGTAAGGGAACCCCACTACCTCTCTTGTCAAATACAGATTACCGCGATGTTCAGATTCTATCATCCACTTGCCTGCCCTACGCCCCGATGGGCGCGTCGAACATATGCGCTCGGCCAGCCATCACTGATAGAGGCGAGTCAGTACAGCACATAGTGAAAGAAAGAGAGTTGCCTTTGGTAGATAACTTTCGAAAGTGTGATGCACTTCGGAATAGCCTGATAATCCCTTCTAGCGTTTATACACTCCAAACGCGAAGTCTTTGGGAATTAAAAGATACAGTTATGTTCACGAATGATACGATAAGACATTCCTACACCCCCAGAATGTGGAAGAACTTCACGCTCAAGTTGGTGTGCATAAAAGTGAATACCACCGCAAGCACCTGAAACACGTCGACGATGATTTCTGTGTTAGTCCACATTTGGTAGTACCAGACCGACTATTGCTGGATAGAGGAAGACTTGGGCATTTCGTATGAAAGGAAGAGTGGAGTAGCCTAAGCATGTTATATAAGAATAATACATCAAGGCTATGTAGCAGAGGGTGTTGGCAACTATACAGGAGACGAGACGATCTGATAATAGCAGTGGGAAGAGGAAGTACTCCACCACATACCTGAGGGGGGAGAAGTGGTCATGGGGTACAAACTTACAGGCGACTTACAGTAGTAAGAAAGTTGGGAAGAAGGCGTTACAGTGGACGTCGAAGCTGTAGAGGAAAGGCACTCTCTGAATAAATAACGGGTAACCAGTCGTACTGGATGTTGGATAAAATCCAAGATCGATTTTGGAAACGGTTTTAGAGGGTACGAGACAATTCCAAGACTATTTTTCTTGAGTATGTTTATCGAACGCCCCGGAAGAGTTTCCGTGTCCAGACCGCCACGACTGGTGTAGTAAAATTTACACCTTATAAAACATGCCGTGTGCGTTATATAGCCTCAGTTGACGTTGCCTCTACGACTACTAATACTACTACCTGCTCTAATCCTTGAAAGGTCTTCACTCTAAGGTGTCGGTTTGCTACAAAATTACATCCCGCGGCCACTACTGACCCTAGTAGTAGGAAGTGTAGGACTATGCCGATGAGGAGGACTCTCAACACTTGAAGGAAAGTGTGAGAAAAACACACACCATAAGCTATGCCTGATACTGCCAGGAAGAGGATCTGAGACTATCCACTGGCCTCTACTATGGTGCGAATGATTTCACCTGGATGACGACGAACGCTGGATCGTCTCTGGACCACCGACCCTTGGTCTGATGCCTGGCAAAACGCCATGGTGTTAGGGACCTTTTTTATGATACCTGTATATGGTCAGTTGACAAACCTTCCTCGGGGATATACAGAGGTAGACCATTTGAGAGAAGGTGTATTCCAAATCCATCTGCTTCTTGTAGAACATACGACGGAGGTATCTGAGGAGTGTTCAGGGAGGAGTGGTATGAGGAGCGGGAAAGGATGATGAGGGCAAGGCTTACTCCATGAGGGAGGAATAGGAGGAGTCTTGGCTGTAAGGCGGTAACATCATATTTATTCGTGCTGCACTGGATTGTTTTTGCACTGACGAGACAACGGACGATTATGCTCGTGAGAAAATCCGATATCGGCCGTTTTAACACACTTTAAAACGGCTTCGTTGCCCGCTGGTCCGACAGTCGACAAAAAGTGGTCCGACTCTCGACAAAGCTTGTACGGAGGGCTGCGCGAGGAGAGTCGCGGGCCTTCGGCCCGCTATGAATGCCAGTGGTGTCTAGCTCTCTATACCGCGCCGGATCGATACTAAACTCGTTGGCACCCCTCATTTATAGCGACTACCGTCCGTACAACGCATTCAACGCGTTTGGGCGCGCGCTTAATTTTGTGGCGCGTGACGAGCCTTGGGTCCCAACTTGCGCCCACCCGAAAATTGCGTATACATGCGTGAGTACGCGGGCCTGCAGCCCGCTTTTGCTACTCCACTCATTACAAGTCTAAGTCACGTAGTGGCAAGAGAGAAATATTCATCCAAAGATGAGGCACAGGTTCGATCCTCGGCCGGGGCAGATTCTGCTAGCTTCATGCAACTTGCAAGAACAGCGCGCTTTGAGTCTGAAACGGCCGGGATCACTGTGGAAACAGTGGCTAATAAGCTGATGTCGCATTCCCACGGTATGTCTAGCAACTTACCTCTCAATCTGAAGGGACTTAGAATGACTGTGATACCTTTCAAGTTGGGAGCCCCAACCCGCTCTGCAATCGATCTGGAAGTCGCTAGTGACAAACGGTAAGCAATGCTTACTAAGCATGGTGTTTTTCTCGTTCATATCGTATTTCTCTGATGTTTGTACTATCTGGGGGGTTGGAATGGTATCATACCTTTAT